TTTGGGTTGGATCAGCCAATTTAATCAGAGTTAGAAGATTTGCTTTCTTTTTCTTCATTCCCCATGGATTTTGTAAGTGTTGTGGAATTATAAAATTAAACTGAATATGCAAATACTAAAATTGAGATTTCAGGAGAAAAGTTCGCTCCCATTAAGAATTTATAGTGTTTATTCTTCCAATAAACAAGTATGGTTTATTGAAAGCCAGAATAATGCTGATTCCTAAACCAGGCAAAGATATCATAACAATCAAAATTACAGACCAATATCCATTATGAACATAGATGCAAAAATTTTCAACAAAATTCTAGCCAACAAGCTTCAGCAACATACCAAAAATATCATACACCATGATCAAGTGGGATCCATACCAGGATTACAAGGCTGGTTCAACATTAGAAAATCAATCATTGTAATCCACCACATAAGTAAAGGGGGGAAAAACATGAGATCCTATCAATTGATGCAGAAAAGGCATTTGATAAAATCCAAAATCCTTTCCTGATAAAAACTGTCAGAAAAATAGAAATAGAAGAGAAATTTCTCTACATAACTAGGGGTATGTTTGCAAAAGCAACAGCGAACAGAGAAAGGCTGAGAGCCTTCCCTTTGAGATTGAATAGGAACAAGACAAAACCCCACTACCATGAAGTCAATTCTGACTCATAGTAACCCTATGATGACCCTATAAGACAGAGTAAAAGTGCCCCATAGGGTTTCAAAGCTGAAGATCTTTACAGAAGCAGACTGCCTTATTTTTCTCCTATGGAGTAGCTGGTGGATTCAAACTGCTGACTTTTTGGTTAGCAGGCCAATGCTTTAACCACAGCATCACTAGTGCTCCTGGAACAAGACAAGGATGCCCACTGTTGTTATTCAACATTGTACTGGAAGTACTAGTAAGAGCAATAAAACAGGAAAAGGAAATCAAGGGTATCCAAATCAGAAAGGAAGAAGTAAAATGACCTCTATTTCAGATGGAATGAGTCGTACATATACAACTCGAAAGATAACACAGAAAAACTGCTGGAACTAATAGCAATATTTAGCAACATTCCAGAGTACAAGATCAACACAGAAAAATCAGTTGGGTTCCTCTATACTAACATAGTCTACTCTAAAAAGTAAATGAGGAAAACAATACCATTTACAGTAGTCCCCAAACTGATAAAATACCTAGAAATTAACCTAACCAGGGACATAAAAGACTTATATAATGAAAATTTTACAACTCTACTACAAGAAACTAAAAGAGTACTAGGTATATACCCTAAAGAGGTGAGAGCCATGACAAGAACAGATATATGCACACCCATGTTCATCGCAGCACTATTTACAATAGCCAAAACATAGAAACAACCTAGATGTCCATCAACTGAGGAATGGGCAACCAAACTATGGTACATACACACAATGGAATACTATGCAACCCTAAAGAATAATGTAGAATCTGCAAAACACCGCATAACGTGGATGAACTTGGAGGACATTATGCTGAGTGAAATAAGTCAATCACAAAAGGACAAATATTGTATTAGTCCATTATTATAAAAGTTAAGGAAAGGTTTATCTATTGAAAGAAATTTTCTTTGTTGGTTACCAGGGGTGGGAGGGGAGGGGAAGGAACACTGTAAGATAGATAGAGATAAATATTGATTTGAGTGAAGAGAAGGGCAATGTACCAAATCTGTGTGACCAATATGACAGCATTGAGGATGAGAAAGACATAGAGAGGTACATGGGAGGTACAGACAACAAATATGAAACCTTTTGCACATACAATACTGCGTTGTCAGTGAAGGCAAACATGGGTATATGGATGGATAGATAGGTGGACAGGCTAAAGGATTAGGTATGTCTATGAAATGAGGATGTATCCAAGATCATATATAGGGTTGGCAGACAATGGTCTTATAAGTTTATGTGAATGATCAGAATTCCCAGGTGTATAGTAGAGCTGACAAGGGGCAAGGTTGTGGTCACTGCTTGGTCACAGCCAGCTACCCAGAGGGACCGAGTAGTTGAACCTGCGGGCTTGGGACCATAGTCGCAGGGGACATCAAGCTCAATTGGCATAACATACTATACAAAACATCGTTCCACCTCCTACTTTGGTGAGTAGGGACTGGGATCTTAAAAACTAGCAAGCTGCCATCTAGATGCAATGATGGGTCTCTCCTCATCAAGAGCAAAGAAGAAAGAAGAAAACCAAAATTAATGGAAACAATGAGTCCTAGTGACTGGTACACCATCTGATCTGCAACCTATATAACTATGAGACCAGAAGAACTAGATGGTGCCAGGCAAACACTGTCATCCACTTGGAAGGGGATCAATGTAGGAGATCCTGGATAGAGAGGGAGAACAATGTGGAACAAAACTCAAAATCATTTGGAGGAAAAAAAAAAAAAGCTGGGGACCAGGTTTGCTGGTCCGGTAGAGCCTGGTGGAACCACTGAGACTATGGCCCCTAGCTGCCCTTCAGGTCTGGAATTGAACCCACACCTGTGGTTTCCAGCCAAACAAAGTACAGGCATGTGAGGTAAGCATTTACCTCAAGTAGACACACGCCTTGGAGAGAACAATCATGGGAGAAAGAAGGGTTGCTTATGAACAGGGAGACAGCTCAGGGGGCAGGAGAGTATGGAGGGATGGACACTGGGAAGAGGTACCTTGGGGAGGAAGTGGAAGGGGAGCTGTTGCATTGTGGTAAACTGTGGTCAATGATATGAGACAAAGTATATGTGAACTGCTGTATGGAAAGTGAATTCGCTCTGTAAATCTTCACCCAAATCACAATAAAAAAAAAATGTCTAAAAAAATAAAATAAAATAAATAAAGGAAAAAGAAACTAAAAGAGACCTATGAAAATAGGAAAGACATTTTATGTTCATGGATTGGAAGACTTAATATAGTGAAAATGTTAATTCTACCTAAAGCACTTACTGATAAAGATTAAAGACTACAGTCTGCAGTGTGTATTACACCTCAAAATAAAGAAAATGAAAATCCTCACAATTGGACCAATAAGCGGCATCATGATAAATGGAGAAAAGATTGAAGTTGTCAAAGATTTCATATTACTTGGTTCCACAATCAACACCAGTGGAAGTAGCAGTCAAGAAATCAGACAGCATATTGTACTGGGTAAATCTGCTGCAAATGACCTCGAACTGCTGAAGAGCAAAAATGTCTCTTCGAAAACTAATATGCACCTAACCGAACTCATGGTGTTTTCAATTGCCTCATATGCATGTGAAAGCTGGATAATGAATAAGGAAAACTGATGAAGAGTTGATGCTTGTGAGTTGTATTGGCGAAGAATACTGAAAGTACCAAGGACTGCCAGGAGAACTAACAAATCTGTCCTGGAAGAAGTGCAGCCAGAATGCTCCTTGAAAGTAAGAATGGCCAGACTTCATCTCACCTGCTTTGGCCATGTTGTCAGAAGGGACCATTCCCTGGAGAAGGATATCATGCTTGGTAAAGTGGAGGGTCAGCAAAAGAAGGAAGGCCCTCAACAAGATGGACTGTTATGATGGCTGCAGTGATGGCCTCAGTATAGCAAGGATTGTGAAGCTGATGCAGGATCAGGCAGTGTGTCATTCTGTTGTACATAGGGTCGCTGTGAGTCAGAGCTGACGCGACAGCACCTAACAACACCTAAAGCAGTGTACAGATTCAATGCAATCCCAATACAAATCCCAACAACATTCTGTACTGCAATGGAAAAACTAATGACCAACTTTACATGGAAAGGAAAGAAACCACAAATAGCCAAAGCAATATTGAAGAAAAAGAACAAAGCAGGAGGCCTCACATGCCTTGATATCAAAATATACTATACAGCCACTATAATCAAAATAGCCTGGTATTGGTTCAATGATAGACATGTACACCAGTGGAATAGAATTGAGAACTCAGAATTAAATCCAGTCATCTTTGGACAACTGATTTTTGGGAGAAAGAAGAAATAAAACAATATATAGTATTTACAGTGTCTGCACAGAAACAGCAGTGTTATTTTTATGTTTTCATTACAGTAGGCCTGATAGTCACTTGGCCAATATGTATGTTCAGCAGACCATCTGCCTTTCTTTCACATATTCAGAAATTCAAACTCAACACTGATTACTATTGGCCTGTGGCTGGCAGCCTGACTGAGAATTGACTGAGAAAGCTCCACTCTTAAACCCTTTTCCTAGTCTAACTACTTTTTAAAAAGCCTTGTTTTCTTAAAGCCTATAATTACATTTGCCTCCAGGGCACCCAGGAATGTTTTTTTAATAAGCAAAGAGCATCCTACAATTATCATGATGATTTGTGGAGGGCAGGCCAAGTGCAGACAGTAGGCCCGTCCAACTTTGGAAACGGTCGGTCACGTGCTTGCGTTTTCATCCTGGGCACCTCCAGCACACTTGAGGTCAATAATTAATAATAAGAACTGGAGAATTAGCAGTTCTTTAGAGATCCACTTTAAGCTGCCAACAAGATGGGGCAGGCAGCCCTGTGTGACTTGGCCTTCTCGGAGCTAGCCGCAGCTGCCGGAGCCTGCTCTGCCTTCTCCGATGGTTCTAGGTAAATATTTCCAGCCACATCCGGAAGCTGCGACTTGTTGCTGTTGAAGTCCTGCAGCTGAGTCCTGGCTGAACAGGTGGCTGTTGAGGTTGGAGCCTGTCGTCTCTGTCAGCCCTGATTTGCCTGCAAGTTTTGTCTCCCCACCCTACCTATAATCTCCATGAGTTCAAAGAGCGCTTAGCTGCTTGTCTTTGTCAAGAGCGCAGTTGGGTATCTTTTATGTGGAAGATGTAGGATTTCTTGGGATGACTTTGATTATTTATTTATCTCCTCCATGAGTGTGTGTTAGTGCTGGTACCATGAAGCCTCTGTCCTGGGCTCCTCTGGCTCTGAAATTCATCAAGCATTAAAATCCTTTGGAAATTACTTTAAGAGGAAAGGGAAAAGTTTTTGAAGTCTTGTCTTTCTGTCCCTTTCTGCAGTGCCACAGCACCTCGTGCCACCGTTCCATGTTCCCTTACCGATTGACATGCAACACCAGGAGGGAAGGTATCATCACTACGAGCCTCACTCTGTCCACAGTGTGCACGGGTAAGTCCTGCCTCTACCCGCTGCCCCAGTGGCTGTCACCTACCCTGGGAGAGGCTGGGCTGAAGCCCTGGCCACCTCTGCAGCTTGTCTTTCTTTGTGGAAGCTCCTACCTAGCATTATCCTGAGCAGACACTCACATTTGCCAACAGGAGGGCAGAGACCCAAGGCCCTGTGTGAGATTGTAAATGAATGGGCTGGGCTGGGACTACTAGCCAGCTCCCCCTCTGGTTGTCCAAGAAGGAAGCACTTCCTATCTGTGCACATCACTTCCAGGGCTGTAAGCTATCCTGGTATATCCACAAGGGGTGGAGGCTGTTTACCCATCCATGAAGTGGGACTCCCCTCCCAGCCAGAGTTCTTACATAAGACCCTAGTTTTATGTTGTCCCAGAATAAGAATGAATAGCACCTTTCATTATTCTCAAGTGTACCATATGGACAATAACTTATATGGTTTAGGTCCCTGGGTGGCATAAATGCTTTGTGTTTGCCTACTAATCAAAAAGTTGGCAGTCCTCTGCCACCCAGCAGAGCCACAGAAGAAAGGCCTGGCAACCTACTTCTATAAAACTATGTTGTTGTTGTTGTTTGCCGTCGAGTCGGCCCCGACTCATAGCAACCCCTCCTTGGGTTTCTGAGGCAGTATCACTACGGAAGTAGGATTGCCCAACCTTCCTTCCGAGGAGTGTCTGGTGGGTTTGAACTGCCAGCCTTCTGGTGAGCAGTCAAGTGCCTTAGGCACTATGCTACCAGAGCTCCTCTATATAGCCATTGAAAATCCTATGGAACCCATTTATATATACTCCAACACATGTGGTATTGCCGTGGGTCACCACTGACTCCATAGCAGTGGGTTTGGTGTTTTGGGGTTTACTTATAAAGACAAGCTGAAGTTATGCCTTTGGGGCCTCTTCCTATTCCCTGGTTTGAGATCACCATGTAGAAGGGGAGTGTTCTCAAGTACCATCTCAATCTTCATTTCCTACCCCTCTCCATCCCCACTCTAAGCCTACAGCTGGTATCAGTTTTCTTGGTCTTTTTGATTAGGGGTCTCTGGGTGATGCAAACAGTTAATGTGCTCAACTGCTGACCAAAAGGGTAGAGGTTCAAGTCTAGCTAAAGGTGCCTGGAAGGAAAGATTTTTGGAAATCTACTTCCAAAAATCAGCCATTGAAAACCTATGGAACATAGTTCTACTTGACATACATGGGGTCACCATGAGTTGGAATTGACTCCATGGCAACTGTTATGATCTAAAGGCATGGTCCCTTACTACCCTACCTGTTCTACTTCTAGAAGAGAACCTGAAAGCTTCTCCTGATCCCTGACATCTTTGCTAGTCCCCACACCTACCTTGTCCTAGTGCCCTCACTTTAACACTCTCCAGGTGCCAGACTCACTGCTTCTGCCCACTGCCCACCAACACCAGGTTGCTGTTGTGGTTGCCAGCCCATGACCCTGTCACATACCTCTGCCTCAGTACCTGCTGCCCGTGCTGCCTGGAATGCCCTTCTACTCAGCCACTGCCTACAGATTCTGTGAGCCACCTCCTCCCAAGGTCATGGTGCTCCCCACACTGAGAGAGCACTCACCCCTTCCCTGGAGTCCTACTGCTCTTTCCTCTGCTCCACCGTATCACACTAGAATGATCTGTTGGGGGGGGGGTGTACTTTTTTAAGGATAGTTTTAGGTTTAATAATTGTGCATAAAATAGAGTTCCTATATCCCATATTATTTATCCCATTGCATTTCTGTGATACCTTTGTCACAGTATTGATATTGATTATTATTATTAACTGAAGTCCCTAGTTTTCATCAGGGTTCACTCTGTGTTATATAGCCCTATCAGTCTTGACAAATGCGTAATCCCATATGCCCACCATTACATGTTACACAGATTAGTTTCACTGCCCTTACATTGCCTGTTGCTCCTTCTCTCCCCTCCCCCTGGCCCTCTGGCAACCACTGATCTTTTTATTGTCTCTGTTGTTGTTGTTGTTGTTATGTGCCATCGAGTCGGCCCCGACTCATAGCGACCCCTCCTTGGGTTTCCGAGGCAGTATCACTACGGAAGTAGGATTGCCCAACCTTCCTTCCGAGGAGTGGCTGGTGGGTTTGAACCGCCAGTCTTCTGGTTAGCAGTCAAGTGCTTTAGCCACTATGCTACCAGAGCTCCTTTTATTGTCTCTAGAGTTCTGCTTTTATAGTTGTAATCATACTCTGTATGTAGCTTTTTTGAACTGCCTTATTTGTCTTAACCATATGCGTTTCAGTTTCCTCCATGTTTTTTTTCATGTAGGCTGATAGCTCATTTCTTTTTATTGCTGAATAATACTCCATTGTGTGGATATGTTGTTGTTGTTGTTATGTGCCATTGAGTTGGACTAGACTCATAGCGACCCCTCCTTGGGTTTCCAAGGCAGTATCACTACGGAAGTAGATTGACCAACCTTCCTTCTGAGGAGTGGCTGGTGGGTTTGAACTGCCAGCCTTCTGGTTAGCAGTCAAGTGCCTTTAGGCACTACACTACCAGAGCTCCCTTGTATGGATATACCACACTTTATTTATCCATTCATCAACTGAAGAACATTTGAGTTGCTTCCCAGTCTTGGCAATTATGAAAAAAACTACTATAAACATGCATGTGCAGGTTTTCAGGTGGACTTGGGTTTCATCTCATTTGGGTAAATTCCTAGGAGCATAATTGCTGGATTGTATGACAAGCCTATGGTTACCTTGGTAAGAAACTGCCAGACTATCTTCCAAAGTGGCTACACCATTTTGCAACCCCACCAGTAGTGAATGAGATTTCTGTTGCTCCACAGCCTCGCCAGCATTAGATATTGTCAATGTTTTGGCGTTTAGCCATTCTAATATGCATGTAGCTTTAATTTGCAATTACCTAATGACTTATTTTGCAATTCCCTAATGCCCTATGATGCTGAGCATCTTTTTCATATGCTTATGTACCATCTGTAGATCTTCTTTGGTGAAGTTTCTGTGCAGATCTTTTGCCTATTTTATCTGTTTTCACACCTGCTTGCCAGCAGGCTCTTAGCCTTCCTCTCATCTGTGTGTCTGTAACAGCTGGCATGTAACAGGTATGCAATAAATGTTTGTTGAGCTGAGAATCTTCTCCAGGAATTCTACCTGTTGAAGACAAATCCTACTGCCTCTCCCATTTCCTGATCAATGATGTTGAATACTTATTGAGCACTGACCCACTTAAAACTTCCTGCTATTGTATCAGTGACTGAGAAGGTGTTCCAGCCTTCAGAAAACTCCTGTTTCAGGACACACATGGCCTTCCCAAGACAGCAAATCTGGGGCTTTTCTTTTTTAAAATTTTTTTTTTTAACTTTCTACTCTGAAATAATTTCAGAGTTACAAAAAGAAAAGTTGCAAAAATAGTATAATGAACCTATATGCCCTTTACCCTGAAATGTCAACATCTTATATAAGCATAAACTGATAAAATCTGCAAATCTCAAATCTCATTCAAATATTGGTTGCCCATTAATGTCTTTTTTTTTTCTTCTGGTTCAGCATTGCACAGTACGTTTAGTTGACATGACAACTAAAACAACTTTTGTTGTTGTTGTCGTTGAGTCAGCTCCAACTCATGGCAATCTTGTACATAACAGAATGAAATAGTGTCCTATCCTGCACTGTCTTCATGATCTTTGGTATGTTTGAGTCCATTATTATAGCTTTTGTGCCAGTCCATCTCACTGAGGGGTTCCCTAGTTTACACAGACCCTCTGCTTTACCAAACATGATGTCATTTCCTAGCTATTGGTCTTTCCTGATGATGTGTCCAAAATAAGCAAGCCAAAGTCATACCATCCTCTTTTCTAAGAAGAATTCTGGTTGTATTTCTTCTAAGACTCATTTGTTTGTTCTTCTGGCAGTCTGTGGTATATTCAATATTCTTCACCAACACCACAGTTCAGATGTGTCTCTTTAATCACCTTTTACTCAGGACAGTTCCTTGGTGTCTCTTTGTCTTTCATGACCTGGACACTTCTGAAAAGTTACAGGCCAATCACTCTATAGAATACCTCTCAGTTTGATTTGCCTGATGTTTCCTCATGATTAAGTTTACAGTATGGATGTGTGGGGAATAAAACCGTAAAAGTTATGCATCATATCAGGAGGGACATGGTGTCAATGTATCTCATTACTGCATGTGTTAATTTGACCACTTGGCTGAGGTGATGTCTGTTGGGTTTCTCTGCTTAAAACTTTTTCGGTTTGTAATCAATAAGTATTTTGTAAGGCAATGGTTTGAGACTATGTATCTGGGTCTATAACAGCTGGCATGTAACAGGTGTGCAATAAATGTTTGCTGAGCAGAGAGCCTTCTCCAGGAATCTACCTGTTTCTCATTATAGTTTCACTCACTGAGGAGCCCTGGTGATACAAATAGTTAAGCACCTGGATGCTAACCAAAAGTTTGGTGGCAGCTTCACAGGAGAAAGACCTGGCAATCTATTTCCATAAAGATTACAGCCAAGAGACCCTTATAGGGAAGTTCTACTCTTTCATATGGGGTCTCTATGAGTCAGAATCAACTCAATGGCATCCAACAACAACAATTTTAATATCCATTGATGATTCTTACCAGAAATTGTAATTATGAGTGTTTGCAGATGGTGATATTTCTATTTTTACATTCCTTCTACAGTTATCAATTAGAATTCTACTGCAAGGAAGAGTTGTCCCTTTTCCCCATTTCTTTCTTTATTTGATTGTTTATTTATAGCTGTGTGGATATTTGTTTCATGCTTTGGGTTGCAATCTATTATTATACTATTTTGTTCAAATTGTCCCAGATTTGGCCATTGAAAATCTGCTCTTGAATAATGTGTTGGTGGCCCAGTGACACAGAGCCTGGGCACAGCAGGTGTGCTGCCCAGTACTTCTTGTGAGGGATGCCAGAGACATATGCAATGCTGAGAGCTCCAAGGAGAGCGATTCCATGCATATGAGCATCTCTGC